TTTTCAAGTTGGTCCAAATTGGGGTCCAAAATTAAACTTTGTTTGATTTCAACAAAAATTGAATATATGGGGTTCTTTGATATGCTGAATCTAACCATGAATTTAGATTTTTTATTTGTGGGCCCGCTATCAAATTGGTTCATATTGAGGTCAAAAGGGTCCAAAATTAAACTTTGTTTGATTTCATCAAAAATTTAATTATTGGGGTTCTTTGATATGCCAAATCTAACCGTGTATTTAGATTTTTAATTTTGGGTCCCGTTTTTTTGAATTGGTCTACATTAAGGTCCAAAATTAAACTTAGTTTGATTTTAACAAAAATTGAATTTTTGGGGTTCTTTGATATGCTGAATCTAAACATGTGTTTAGATTTTTGATTATGGGACCAGTTTTCAAGTTTGTCCAAGTTGGGGTCCAAAATTAAACTTTGTTTGATTTCAACAAAAATTGAATATATGGGGTTCTTTGATATGCTGAATCTAAACATGTATTTAGATTATAGATTTTTGGCCCAGTTTTCAAGTTGGTCCAAATTGGGGTCCAAAATTAAACTTTGATTGATTTCAACAAAAATTGAATATATGGGGTTCTTTGATATGCTGAATCTTACCATGTATTTAGATTTTTTATTTGTGGGCCCGCTATCAAATTGTTCATTTTGAGGTCAAAAGGGTCCAAAATTAAACTTTGTTTGATTTCATCAAAAATTGAATTATTGGGGTTCTTTGATATGCCAAATCTAACCGTGTTTTTAGATTTTTAATTTTGGGTCCTGTTTTTTTTTAATTGGTCTACATTAAGGTCCAAAGGGTCCAAAATTAATCTTAGTTTGATTTTAACAAATTTGAATTCTTGGGGTACTTTGATATGCTGAATCTAAACATGTGTTTAGATTTTTGATTATGGGACCAGTTTTCAAGTTTGTCCAAGTTGGGGTCCAAAATTAAACTTTGTTTGATTTCAACAAAAATTGAATATATGGGGTTCTTTGATATGCTGAATCTAACCATGTATTTTGATTTTGGACATTGGACCATAATAGGTAAATTAAAAAAAATTGAAGTTCTTAGACCACATTCTTTCTGTGTCAGAAACCTATGCTGTGTCAAATATTTAATCTCAATCCAAATTCAGAGCTGTATCAAGCTTGAATGTTGTGTCCATACTTGCCCCAACTGTTCAGGGTTCGACCTCTGCGGTCGTATCAAGCTGCGCCCAGCGAAGCATTTTATTAAAATTGGAGTTATCTTCCTTTGTCCATGATGATAATTGAATCAACTACAATCAATGCTTTATACAATGCAATGTTTAATTTTGACTTCCACTGATAAAACATAGATCAAGTTGAATTTGGGTAGTGTCACTTTAACCATTATTGAGTAATGCCCCTTTATAAATCGAAAGATTGCCAAATTTTTAGTTTCCATTCTGTAACTTAAGTTTGCCCAAACCAAACATTATGAAACCTATACACAATATTCATTACTACAAAACTAAGATCAAGATCAAATTTGGGTAGCGTCACTTTTACCGTTCTTTTTTTATTATTTCAATCCAAATATTAACTCAGAATTTCTTTCCTAATTATATTATAAACATAGAGCTTAATCTATGACCAAGTGCCAAAATGGTGAAAAGATTAATTGTAAAACAAACTAATTAGAGTTTTATGACAATGTTCAATTATCTGTTATTTAATCATGACAAGGTATTCATTGATCTTTTGACAACAATGGAACACTTTTACAGTCATGCTTTTCAAATATTACTCTTTTTTTAAGGAAAATGTATGACATAAAATGAAATAACAAAAAGAACTAAATCTGATATATAGTGTTGTGTTATTCTTAAAAACTGCTACAGGATGACAGGGAACAACTGTATAATTTCTGTAATATTAGAAGCAGTTGGATTTATCAACTACAACAATTATTATTTATTTTAGGTTTAAATAAGATTTGGTATAACCAAGACAATTTGATTATTGATACAAATTTATTATTATTTGTAAAAACAAGGATATATGATCAAGCAAAACAGACTTTGAATGATCAAATTAACATTTCATCTAAGTGTTATTTATATAAATATATTGTCAATAATGTATGTTTACAGAATTATCTTACTAAACATATGAATTTTAGAGTGTATTTAACTGGTCTTAGATTGTCTTCACATAATTTGTTTGTTGAAGTAGGCCGTTATCATGGAGTAAATAGGTTAGGTAGAAAGTGTACTCTTTGTACTTTGAATACCACTGAGGATGAATTCCATTTTGTTTTACAATGTGAATGCTATAGAGACTTAAGGAGACAGTTTATTAAACCTTATTATTATAGATGCCATCATTGTTCAAATTAGTGCAACTTCTCAGCACTGAAAATGTCAAAGATTTGCATAATTTGTGTAAATTCTTGTTTGATACACTTAATCATAGGACCGAACTATTAGTTGTCAATACTTGATAATTATTTGCTTCTCTGATGTATTATGTCGTTTTGTGTTATAAAAAATGTATTTGTATTTATTGCACTGTTAAGCATAATGTGCTTAAAGTAATAGAGAATTGAATTATTCCATCAAGTGATTTATTTGAAGTGTGAAAAATAAATAGAAAATAGAAAATTAATATTTAAATGATTATTTTCTTAGTTAATCAAGAAATCTTAATTTCTGTTTTTGTTAAATCTCCAACAATCTGTGAAAAATGTATGAAATAAAATGAAATAACAAAAAGAACTAAATCTGTTATATAGTGTTGTGTTATTCCATCAAGTGATTTATTTGAAGTGTGAAAAATAAATAGAAAATAGAAAATTAATATTTAAATGATTATTTTCTTAGTTAATCAAGAAATCTTAATTTCTGTTTTTGTGAAATCTCCAACAATCTGTTAAAGATATATAGTATTTGAAAAAAGTAATGCAATGTAATGCATGAAATTACACAACTTTATGCTAAAGTAATGCATTAAATTACAATTTCATGTAATGCAAAAATTGCTGCATTACACATTACATGCAATTACAAATTTGCATTACCCCATGCCTGGCATGGGCACATCTCATTGCCATGGAGATTGTTTAGCCATGTACCTTCAGTCATGGTTCATTGACTTTGAATATTTGCATTACTTACTTATTTTAATTTCAACATTTGCATTATCAAAATAACAAATAGGCGAGACATCTCTGTGTTAATAGTTTATTATTATGAATTATACAATTACAATATATAGGATTCAGAAACAAGTAACAAGTGCTTCTGTTAATCTGTCTCCTTACAGATTTGAACATTAAAACATTTTTTTTTTATTAAGGCAAAGATAAAAAAAATCTTTTAAAAATATAAAAATAAAGGGACTACTTATATTTGTTAATATATACAAAAATCTGTTGTAAAAAAGATTGCTGTACTATGGTGATTTTTTTCTAAGACTGACCCTCTGCTCTCAGTTTCTATCTAGAACACTGAACATCATTGCTTACCAATACTGAATACCTAACCCTAACACCCACTAGCCCTAAAACCTAACAATAACACCCACTAGCCCTAAAACCTAACCCTAACACCCACTAGCCCTAAAACCTAACCCTAACACCCACTAGCCCTAAAACCTAACCCTAACACCCACTAGCCCTAAAACCTAACCCTAACACCCACTAGCCCTAAAACCTAACCCTAACACCCACTAGCCCTAAAACCTAACCCTAACACCCACTAGCCCTAAAACCTAACCCTAACACCCACTAGCCCTAAAACCTAACCCTAACACCCACTAGCCCTAAAACCTAACAATAACACCCACTAGCCCTAAAACCTAACAATAACACCCACTAGCCCTAAAACCTAACAATAACACCCACTAGCCCTAAAACCTAACAATAACACCCACTAGCCCTAAAACCTAACAATAACACCCACTAGCCCTAAAACCTAACAATAACACCCACTAGCCCTAAAACCTAACACTAAATCTATTTTAGTAAATATTGTGAAAATTCATGGATGGTTCCAGTGAGATAAGAAGCCGCAACCTTGTGATTTATAGGCAGCCCTCTAACTAAATAAGATCTTCCCAAACCCAACTGAATTAGAATCTCTTTATACCTCCAATTATACAGCATGACTGAAAGCCAAGCAAGAATTGCAAAGTACATATATATCAGTATTAAATAAGGAGATGTATGATTGCCAATGAGACAACTATCAAACAGAGTCCCAATGAAGCAGATTTGATTTTGCAGGTTTGGTCAAATTCATTGATGTCCCTTCCCCCTTTTTTCTCCACTGGCTACTGGACTGACTTCCATCACCATCATCATGTCAAGAATAAGTTAAAGAAGCTTACCAGAACAATTTCATTCATTGACATGTCTGATGAACATTATTATTCAGCGAATGAGATGTTAATTTTATAAAGTTATATAAAATGATTAGAGTTGTTTCTGTTTACACAACTTAATTAGTCACAGAAAGGTGTAAAACATTGTTGATGAATTAATTAGTCACAGAAAGGTGTAAAACATTGTTGATGAGTTCAGCTAATTTTACAGATTTTTATCAACTTGCTGAACATGCTCAAGGGACTAAAATTGATGTAAAACAAGGAAAGTCCAGAAAATTTACAAAATATATCAATTCATCATGATTTGTTGCAATAATAACTTGTAAAATGTAAAATTTGTTTTTATTTTCTATTAAGCACCTTTTACCTCAGTATAATTTGGATAAATGTAAGAACCTATAGCAATATCTTTTTATTGTGCACTTATATTTGGGCCAAAAAAGAAGGACTTATTGTCCATAGGCTTTTATGAATATTTTTCAAATGTCCAAATATTAGCTACACCTTTGAATTTTTGACTGTGTTGATCTCTGTACTATATCTTTTGTTGAGATTAAAATATTTCATTGGACATGTTGGAGGTTCAGAATGAAATACATGAAATAATAAGCATTCAATTTCACCTCGTGTCATGAATATTTTAAATTTTCAGGCTTTAAATGAAACATGGAACACTGTGGATCCAGACTTCTCACCCTGTTTTCAAAAGACAGTTATTTTATGGATACCATGTGCCATTCTAGTCTTAGGAACTCCGATACGTATATTCCAGCTGAGCAAAAGCCAAGTTCCTGCCTTGCCATTTACATGGCTTAATATAGGAAAAACAGTGAGTATATTATAATAAAAAACCAACACTTTTAGAAACTAGAACATTAAAAAAAGAGGTTTGGTTTGTGAATATATCAACAAGACAGAAACCAAACTTCACAAAAAAAACTTAGCTAGAGGTCAAAATTCACTCTGCTGCAATAGACAAGTGTCTATACAGTATGCAGACTGCAATAAATTATTTAAGCTCCTAATCACCCAGAGTTCATACAGGTAGCCTATGAATTTATTGGAGACTACTAAAGATGCTGCCATTGATATTTTATTTCATTATGTAAAAAAAAACTTGTTTTTTTAGACATTCTACATTGTTCTAGATTGTCACAGTACTATCAGCCTGTTAGGAAAAATAAACAGTTCAGAATTCAAACTAAGGACAAAAGTTATTTGTGTTTTAGCAAAAATACTTTGTTACATTTGTTTTACAAAGTACAAGAATTCAACTATTTACTTTGAGTAATTACATTTTATTGATCATCAGTGGTTATGTAACCCTTAAAGTAAATCCATTCGAGGATCAAAAACATCAAAATAACCACACAAAAAAAGGACATCATCAAATCCCCCCTCCCCAGGGTTACTGGGGAATAGAAATATGGTTACACAATTGGTGTCAGAATTGGGACGTTAAATCCATTGCCTCATGGAAAGAGATTGCCAGGCTCTTTGCACGTTAAGAACCCTTGCAACAACTCTTTGAGGGTCTCATAGGTGGCCTGTTGCAAGGCTAAATTTCTGTCCCAATCCAATTTACCCTCATTTTCCAGTGGTAGTCTAAATTTCCTTGACCTTCATCCCGGACAGCCTCTATTACAGGACCTACCTATTGAATTTATTGTTAATTTGTTCTCGTCCTTAACATGGAAGAAATATTTGCCATTGGACATTAAGCAACTAACAATTAATCAAATCACCAGCTACATGTATTGCAAACAGTATTTGGCTAACCTAAAAATTCCATGTTCATTGTAATATTTTTATTTTAGATTTTATCAAGGCTGGTTTTACTTTAAATTTGGATTCAGTTATTTTCGTGGAAGTCAATTTTCCTGGATTTAGGAAAATTGGTTTCGTCACGGATATTAGATTTCGTGTTTTAGTCAATGTCTGCATCATAGCCTTAAGAAAATTTGTTTTTTGTTGAGTATTTGAATTCATGGTTAACCTGTGATATCCAATGAATGATAATGAATGAACAGTACTTTTGTAGTCCAGATTTAGAAGCAATCTTTGCCTTGACCATGTTTACTTTTCAGGAAGTATTAAACTTTAAAGTCATAGTTTTTAACCAAAAGGGAATTGAAGCCTCCCTCCAACATAGAGGAGAGCAAGCTACCAAAAGACTATCGAGATGAGATTTTGCATACATGAACTACTATTGAAGACTAACAATTGTTTTTGTATATTTCAGATTTTATCTATACTGATAGCCCTGTTAGCTGTAGCCAATATAGGGAAAAGTATACATGAGTTAGCCACTGGAGATTTGGTGCCAACAGTAGATTTTGTATCACCTTTGATTTTATGTCTATGTATGGTTAGTATTGCCTCGGAATGACACAAATTGGCGTTAATGTGACAAAATTACAATAAAGGGAAATATGACATCCAATGCCAAATGTTAGAATTGTCGTGTTCTAAAGCAATCTGATTGAATACAGATCCTACATTCACGCTTCCCTAACAAAGATCTGAAAAAACTTTCTATTCTGATAATTATAATGTGTCAATAAATTTCTTTTAGAAATAATGTTTCTAATACAACAAAAAAGCTTGAGGATCCTAAATATTTAAAAAAAAATGTGTTTACCATCTCTGGAATTTAAGGTTTTAGGCTTTTTAGTGTATCTTGTATACTTTATGGGGGAACATTTTTGCATGATATCCCCTCACTGAATTTTTATACGACCGCATGGTATGACGTTGGCATCGTCGTCGTCGTCCGAAGACACATTGGTTTTCGCACTCTAACTTTAGTTTAAGTGAATGGATCTCTATGAAATTTTACCATAAGGTTCAATACCACAAGAGGAAGGTTGGAATTGATTTTAGAGTTACGATACCAACAGTGAAGGAAGAAGGGGCCAAAAAGGGGCCAAAAATAAGCATTTTTGTAACATCCAGACATAACTTGTGTGTTAGTGTATAGATCTCTCTGACATTGTACCACAAGGTTCCATATCACAAAAGGAATGCTGGGATTGATTTTGGGGGTAATTGCCTCAAAATTTTAGGGATTAGGGGCCAAAAAAGGGGCAAAAAACAAGCATTTTTCTAGTTTCATGACAATAACTTGTGTGTAAGTGTATGGATCTTTCTGAAATTGTACTACAAGGTTCCATATCAGAAAGGGAAAGCTGGAATTGAGTTTGGGGGTAATTGCCGAAAATGTTTAGGAATAAGGGGCCAAAAATAAGCATTTTTCTAGTTTCCAGAGAATTACTTCTGTTCAAGTGTATGGAACTCTCTGAAATTGTACTGCAAGTTACCATACCACAAATGGAAGGCTGGGATTGATGATGGGGGTAATTGCCTCAAAATTATAGGAATTAGGGGCCAAAAAGGGGCAAAAAACAAGCATTTTTCTAGTGTCCAGACAATAACTTGTGTGTAAGTGTATGGATCTTTATGAAATTGTACTACAACGTTCCATATCACAAAGGGAAAGCTGGGTTTGAGTTTTGGGGTAATTGCCTTAAATGTTTAGGAATTTGGGGCCAAAAAACAAGCATTTTTCTAGTTTCCGGACAATAACTTGTGTTCAAGTGTATAGATCTTTCTGAAATTGTACTGCAAGGTACCATACCACAAAGGGAAGGCTGGGATTGAGTTTGGGGGTGATGAATCATAAGGGGGTTAAAAAAATTTGGGGGGGGGGATTTTTTTTCCCCTTTTTTTTTCTTTAAAATTTTCCATTTTAAATTTGTTATTTCTGATTTATATATAAAAGCAAATAATAATGATATGGTTTGAAAAGGTAAATCAAAATTTTTTAAGTTCTTAGACCACATTCATTCGGTGTCAGAAACCTATGCTGTGTCAAATATTTAATCACAATCCAAATTCAGTGCTGTATGTTGTGTCCATACTTGCCCCAACTGATCACGTTTCGACCTCTGCGGTCGTATCAAGCTGCGCCCAGCGGAGCATTTTATTAATATCAAAATCAAAGACAAGAAAAATCTGAAAATTAAACTCAGGAACAGGTTTTAAAATCTTGAAATTAAAACTCTTCTGAAATTAACTACTTTACAGCCATGACATTTTACAATATACAAAAATGTAATGGGAAATTGAAATGTATTATTATTTGGCGTAAGTGATATGAAATTCACCCAATGAATTCAACACTTTTTATTATGCTGGAGCCATGTGATTATTAAACTGTTATTTTGAACTTAGGAATTAGATATAAGAAGATGTGGTATGAGTGCCAATGAGACAACTCTCCATCATAGTCACGATTTGTAAAAGTAAATAATTATAGGTCAAAGTACGGGCTTCAACACGGAGCCTTGGCTCACACCTAACAGCAAGCTATAAAGGGCCCCAAAATGACTAGTGTAAAACCATTCAAACAGGAAAACCAACAGTCTAATCTATATAAAGAAAGAGAAACGAAAAGACTTATGAACCACTGTATATATTAGTATTAATTTGTCCCAGAGAAGATTTGGAAACAAAACTGCTTGAATTTGCCAATATTTTAAAACAAAATAGAATTGACCTAACTATTCTGTCAAATTTAAAGGGAAAATATATGTTTTTATGCTCTTTATTTATAACATCCAGAAATATTAACCCTCTCCCAGTTTCTGTTATGGAAAATAATTCACCATTTTAGAATCTAATGCATTCTGGGTAATGTTTTGGTGAATACATCATAAACAATGGATATCTTAACAAATGCGTAATGTTATTTCCATTTTGAAATAACCCTCAATTCTTTAGACTCTGAAATAGTAAATTTGAATATTTTTGTCAATTATCAGTTGTCTAATGAATAAAAGTTGATCTCAAGAATACCCCAATGAGACAGCAACCCCAAAACAAAAAAAAGCAATAAACAGGTTTTTTGTACAAGATTTCAAGCTCTAAACTGCACAAATCTAAATAAAAATGAAACAAAACTATCATAGGTATGACATCACAACCATTAATGAGGTTTCTCACTTGTAACAGTCTCATGGGAATATTGATAGGTTAATAGGTTAAAAATAATTTATTTTAGATCTCAACCCTCCCCCTCCTTTATCTTGATCAGTGTATTAACAAAAGACTCATACACAAATTACAATTAAAGTCAATACAGGAAAGAACTATCCATAATGTTTAATTTTTTTTTTATATTTTACAGATATTAACAGTATTAGTGATACATCATGAACGAAGAAGAGGTGTATTTTCTTCAGGATTTTTGTTATTTTTCTGGTTGTTACTATTTATAGCAGGAATATTTACATTCCAGTCGTTAGTAAGAGCAGCTGTTAAGGTAAATAAAAAACAAAGTTTCAAATCCAGACCATTACTATATATGGTATTGGTCACTAGGGTAAAAAAGAGACACAAAATACCAAAAGGAAAATCAAAATTCATAGGCAAAGAGAAACCCACAAAACCATGGTGAAAAACAATGAAAAAACAAACGATAGCCTACAAAACACAACATAGAACAAACTAAAAGACTAAACAACACAAACTCAACCAGATCTCGGGTGCTTTGGAGGATAAACAGATCCTGCTCTGATGATGGTACCTGTTGTTCAAATTGCCAATTGCTATTCACTTGATCATATAATGAAATTCACTGCTGTAAGTCTTTTTTATGCATAAACCAGATAGAAAATTCCTATAATACAAGTAAAGAGCATGTAGTTAAAGATATAATATTTTGAGGAAATCCATTAGTATCAAAATGATCTTACTACAAAGTTCTGTTGTGTCCACATAAAAATAGAATAATAGATAAAATAGAACTTTAATACAAATTTTGCTCATACCTTCTCTGAACTTAAAAGCGCTGTATATACTGTATAACTTTGACAAAACCACGAAATCAAATATCCACAAATATACAATCTTTCCTCAAGCCACGAAAATGAGTGGAACAAAGACATTATAGCTTTGTTGTTTTCCTGTAGCCTTTTCTCAAATGAATAAAGATTATTATAATAACAGCTTATACTACCTGAAATATATATGATCTTGCCACATGAATTTTTTTACTATTATCACTTAGACCTCACATGTCTTTAAGATAATCTGAATATGGCATGTTGATACGATTAAATCACATTGTGAGTCTAAATGTGAATTTTATGTCTTTGTTCATTTAAAGTGCTACTCACATAGTGTGCAGTACATGAATCTGAAGAAATATATATGTTGAAATCATGGGAATGAAAATTTCCTGTGTGCTCTAGTTGTCATATTTCCTTCTCCTTTCAGAATTGTACATCTGATGTATATAATATTTATTCCATGTTTTCTGTATTTTCAGGATGGGGTATCAGATGTGTTCCGTTTTGTTATATTTTTTCTGTATTTTCCGTTACTTGTTGTACAGCTAGTTTTTTCAGCATTAGTAGATGGTGGTGATACTATATATCAAGTTAGTCAAAATGAGGTCAGTCACGAGCAATTTAAAAATAGAAAGATGTATTGATTAGATAATATTTATTGATTTATCTGCTATATATATTGCTGTTATATTTGGGTATATTACATATGGTTTGATGTTTCTTGTTTCTCATTGGTTTATTTGGTCACATGTTTCCCAGTATATATTTTGTATTTTTTCACTATTTTGACATATTGAGTCGACTTTACTATTTTTTAAATTGATATTGACTCCATGTTACTTTAAATTGTAAGATAAAGTCAATATCATTTCCAAAAAAAGTAAGATCGAGTCAACATCATTTTTAAACTTACACTATTTACATATGTAATATATAAATTAAGGATTTTCACTCAGTCAATACGTTATATATGGACCTGTTAGATTATATTGAACTCGGACTTCGTCTTCAGTCAATATAATCTGAACAGGTCGATATATAACGTATTGACCTTGTCAAAAGTCCATAATTGATAAATATTATGATGTAAGTTGGTAGTTATAAATAATACAGAAAAAATAATTAATTAACTGTAATGACACTTCACTCAATCTGTATATATAGGTCACCCTCAAAATCAGAGAAAATTGACCTTTTAAGAGAGGTGACTTTTGAATTGAGGCTTGAATTGCATATGTATAATTACAGTGTGACAAGAAAAGGTTGCCTGACAAGACAGGTTTTTGCTTAATATAGGTGACCTTTATAGCAGGTTTTACTGTATTTTTAGTGGAGGATTCAAGTAAACACAAATAGCTACTTGAATTCATAGTTTCAGAATTTATGCATAGCACATCAATGGTTGTCAAACATGTCAAAAATTCAAAAGTTAGTTTTGAAGAATAAAAGTGCTTTTTCACAATTTTATACAAATAAAGATTTGAAAAAAAACCAATTTAATAATGTAGTTGCATTAAACTTAAAGTGAAGTACCAATTTTTCTCTTAAAAAAAGTTGACAGATTGATTGTTTTACTATTTATAGCAATTTTGTTACATTCCAAAGTTTTTCTTCTTCAGAATCCTTGTCCAGAAGAAAGAGCTTCATTTTTATCCAGATTGATATTTTGGTGGTTTAATCCGTAAGTAGTCAGTGTAGTGTATGTAGTGTTGGAAGTAGTCAGTGCAGTGTATATAGTGTTGGAAGTAGTCAGTGCAGTGTATGTAGTGTTGGAAGTAGAAAGTGCAGTGTTGGAAGTAGTCAGTGCAGTGTTGGAAGTAGTCAGTTCAGTGTATGTAGTGTTGGAAGTAGTAAGTGCAGTGTATGTAGTGTTGGAAGTAGTCAATGCAGTGTATGTAGTGTTGGAAGTAGTCAGTGCAGTGTATGTAGTGTTGGAAGTAGTCAGTGCAGTGTATGTGGTGTTGGAAGTAGTCAGTGCAGTGTTGGAAGTAGTCAGTGCAGTGTTGGAAGTAGTCAGTGCAGTGTATGTGGTGGTCAATTCAGTGTATGTGGTGTTGGAAGTAGTCAGTGCAGTGTATGTGGTGTTGGAAGTAGTCAGTGCAGTGTATGTGGTGTTGGAAGTAGTCAGTGCAGTGTATGTGGTGTTGGAAGTAGTCAGTGCAGTGTATGTGGTGTTGGAAGTAGTCAGTGCAGTGTATTAGGTGTTGGAAGTAGTCAGTGCAGTGTATGTGGTGTTGGAAGTAGTCAGTGCAGTGTATGTGGCTTTGGAAGTATTCAGTGCAGTGTATGTAGCGTTGGAAGTAGTCAGTGCATTGTATGTGGTGTTGGAAGTAGTCAGTTCAGTGTATGTGGTGTTGGAAGTAGTCAGTTCAGTGTATGTGGTGTTGGAAGTAGTCAGTGCAGAAATAGTCAGTGCAGTGTATGTAGTGTTGGAAGTAGTCAGTGCAGTGTATGTAGCGTTGGAAGTAGTCAGTGCAGTGTATGTGGCGTTGAAAGTAGTCAGTGCAGTGTATGTGGCTTTGGAAGTAGTCAGTGCAGTGTATGTAGCATTGGAAGTAGTCAGTGCAGTGTATGTAGTGTTGGAAGTAGTCAGTGCAGTGTATGTAGTGTTGGAAGTAGTCAGTGCAGTGTATGTAGTGTTGGAAGTAGTCAGTGCAGTGTATGTGGCGTTGGAAGTAGTCAGTGCAGTGTATGTAGTGTTGGAAGTAGTCAGTGCAGTGTATGTAGTGTTGGAAGTAGTCAGTGCAGTGTATGTAGTGTTGGAAGTAGTCAGTGCAGTGTATGTGGCGTTGGAAGTAGTCAGTGCAGTCTATGTAGTGTTGGAAGTAGTCAGTGCAGTGTATGTAGTGTTGGAAGTAGTCAGTGCAGTGTATGTAGTGTTGGAAACAATGAACTGTATTACTTATTCAGATATTAGAAAAGTAATGTTAATAATAATGATAATAATAATAATGATAATAATTCTTTATTTAAAGAGATTTAAAATTAAATTTAATCTCTGGAACTACACCTTTTATAGTTTTAAAATCTCAGGAAAGGCTTAAACTGTCTTCGTGATTCATATTATTTTGTAGCACAGAATGAAACTTTGAATCTTCTTTTCTAAACATGTATGCTGTATTTTATAACAACTGCTTTATCAAGTATACATGTAGATATAAATTTACTAGGTCAATCCAATTTATTTATGACCAATTCCTGCTGGTGCATTTGCAAGGACTGTTGTATTAATTTTCATGTATGAAGAAAACCTGAGGATATTTAATTCTCTGGAAAATAAAAATTCTCAGTAACAACATGCAAAAATTCTGAACAGTACTGAATATCATCAGTATCGTTGATGATTGCAAGTTCGTTATGCTTGTAGGTTAGTGACATTTGGGGATTTCCACTTTATTCATGACGTCATGCAAAAGTATTTATAATCGGCAACATGCTACTTCAAAAAAACCGGATATTTTTCATTGCATGTTTACTAATATCGCCTTTAAAAAGAGAAGTTGTGTATGTTCTTGCATATTATTTGTTTAAACGTCTATTTCCACTATTACTGTTTTATTCCTCTCCTAGAAATTCGTTGAATTCTTGGGAAAACCCTTTCAGCAATGTTAGTGACATCTCAACAATGAGTCATCATCTATATTTAGGTTATGTGGCACTCATTTTCCTTTTTTTAAGGCCAAAAGTATTATTTTTTAAATTCTGTATGTGAGCAGATTTTGTAAGATCAGAAAATGATTTGATGTATTTTGATAAAACAAAACATATTGATTATTGGCTCATAAAAGTGATTTAATCCTGTGCAATTGAATGCAAATTGAATAAGCTAACCAAACCTTGAAACAGACTTATTCGGAAAGGATATAGTTACAATACTGTTGTCAGGTCATTAAGACAGTCATTATTAGTACTGAACTAGTACACAATTTTATTTAGGGGCCAGCTGAGGACCACCTCCGGGTGCGGGATTTTCTCGCTGCGTTGAAGACCCATTGGTGGCGTTAGGCTGTTGTCTGCTCTTTGGTCGGGTTGTTGTCTCTTTGACATATTCCCTATTTCCATTCTCAATTTTATTTGATGCATTAATGACATTGTGACATCGTTACAGTTATCTTAAATGTGTTTAAAGTGTTTAATTCTGGACTTTCCAATTGACCATTGAAAATCATGTATAAAAATTCGAACAATTGTTGTAGGGAGAATAAAAAAGTTAATATGTCCCAATTTCTCTTTTTATCGAGATATTCATTTGTTATTTGATCTCAAATTTATTCTGTAATGTTCAAATACATAATACAATATGCCTGACCTAAATATTGTTGCACATGCGCAAAGCCACCGTCAAAGACAAAGGTCACAAACTTAAAAGCATGTCTACTTATTTTACGGAATCGGGTCACAATACGAAACATAGACAGATTGACCATGTCTCTGAAGCTATTAATCAATAAAGTGTATCAGACTGTTTGCAAATAAGTAAAGAATATTTACGTTCATTAATATTTGCTCCAAGGTTGTAATTTTTTTTTCTTCCGTTTCGAGTTAGGGTAAAGAACTTCCAATCATCGAGAATATTGATTTAGATAGTGAAGCAAGTTGCAAATATCATAGGTTTTATTAATGATCAATTTTGTCAATAAAAAAAAACCTTATGATATATATAGAAATTCCAAGTAACAATTTTTGTTCAAGAGAAAAGATGTACAGCTACTTTAAATTGCTAAATGAAAATCGAATGAATCTATTATTTGTTGATGCAACTGATGCTTAATTAAATCTCCTTAATAGATGCAAAGATTGTCAAGCACTGATAACCTGAGGTGAAAAAGCGCTTATCAAATGAATTAGATTATTCTTAGGATGTTAGTGTATGTAAACACATCATCTGGAAATACAAATTTGTAGTTTTAAAATCTCAGGATAGGTTTAAATCAGAGGTCATATGCATACAATATGCCATTGTTGAACTACTGTATATTAAGACAATATTTCAAATAAATGAAAAATTCACTCTTTTATAATGTTTCAGATAATGGGTATTTTGAGAGTCATTCAATTAAAATATATTTTTATGCCCCACCTAGGGGGATTATGTTTTTTTGTCTGTGCTTCAGTTCGTCTGTTTGTTCGTCAATCCATTCATCCGTCCGTCTGTCCCGCTTCAGGTTAAAGTTTTTGGTCAAGGTAGTTTTTGATGAAGTTGAAGTCCAATCAACTTGAAACTTAGTACACATGTTCCCTATGATATGATCTTTCTAATGTTAATGCCAAATTAGAGTGATCCTCAATTTCATGGTCCACTGAACATAGAAAATGAAAGTGTGAGTGGGCAGGTTAAAGTTTTTGGTCAAGGTAGTTTTTGATGAAGTTGAAACCCAATCAACTTGAAACTTAGTACACATGTTCCCTATGATATAATATTTCTAATTTTAATGCCAAATTATAGTTTTTACCCAAATTTCGTGGTCCACTAAAGATAGAAAATGATAGTGCGAGTGGGGCATCCATGCACTATAGATACATTCTTATTTATTCATTTATATTATATAAAAATCCGTTGGGATTAAATTGTCATTTTTGGTCAAAATCTATTTAGCAGTTGTTTCAATAGGAATTCTCAAAGTCAAATTTAAGGATAGCCACAGATATACTTAGATTATATTATATTTCAGTATGGTCATACAAGGATATAAACGTGACATTAAGAGGGAGAATCTCTGGGCGTTAAATCACGAAGACAACACATCTTCTGTGTTTCCTAGATTTGAAAAATTCTGGAAGAAAGAAGAAGAAAGAGTTGAAAAGTAAGTTATTGCATCCAAGATTTTAAAAAAGAAGATAATTCAAAGCGATAAACTAATGAAAATAAGATGAATGTATATTGTGATCTGTAATAGTGACACATCTAAGCAAGTACAGTAGACTTCACCTATCAAATATCGACTAAATAAATATATCTTCTATTGTAATATTATTTCAGAACACCAAACCCTTCCCTATATGTTTAATGTTAATTTTATCATGTAATCGGATATCGGATACAAGGATATATCGGCAAATCGGATAAGAATATTCAGGTCATTTTGTTCAAAACCATGCACAATCGGATATTTTCAATGTTTTTCTGACAGGAAATGGACCTGGATGTTATGCAATTACAATCTTTCAGACAAGAAAATTTTGTTTTTACTTAATAAAAGGAATTATTTCTTAATAAATTGTTGTCTTTATTTATTGTCTTCCTTTGTAATGTTAATTAGATGCCCTTAAAATTCACAAATGGATTTAATTTGTTTATAAAATATACAAGAGCAGTATTTTGGGAGAATTTTGATAAAACTATAAGTGCTCACAGAATCAGAAATATAATTTAAACTGAATGTACCCCGGTACCTACCTCTGAATAATTTATTGCAATATACATATAAATCCCATTTGGAAAGAGAAATCTGACTTTTGTCAGATATAATTATGTAACATGTGCATGACCACAATTCATGGAAGTCATTTTCTTTTGTTTACATAATGTGAAGCCTGGAGAACCATGACCTAAACATTAACAGTCTTCAGAAAACTTAAACTTGATGCAATAATATTTTACCAATGATGATTATCTTCATTGATATTCAAATAAATTTGATGATTTAAAGAAATAAAATATATTATTAGACAGTCCACACGAAACATCAACAAACCACTCTTCTAAGAAAATATACCTGCAAACAAAAATTAGGACCAGCACACAACACATTTGCCCGATAGCCTAACATAGTACATGCACAGAATGTGTCTAATTATTTGCTTTTCTGTGCCAATCAAATTTATTGTACAAGTCTTCTATTTTACTGTTACAGAAAAAAGCAGAGACCAGAGACCCCTGACACCAATGGTATTGAAATGAAAACAAGAACAGAAGATGGACAATTATATACAGAGGTTGAGGTCAAAGATGGAGCAAAGAAATCTCCACAGAAAAAACTTCTTATCTGCTTCATTAAAGTGTTTGGACCAATCTGTCTCTTACATGCATTTTACAAGTTGTTGTTTGATATACTCCAGTTTATTAGTCCACTTATTTTGAGGTAAATTAAAATAAGGTGATAGGAAAAGATTGACAGTTTATTTTTCTTAAAATTAATAAAATAAATTGCATGTACTAAACATAATATATATAAAATATAGAAGATTTGGTATGATTGCCAATGAGACAACTCTCCACAAGAGACACAGAAATTAACAACTATAGTTCACCGTACGGCCTTCAACAATGAGCAAAGCCCATACTGCATAGTCAGCTTTAAAAGGCCCTGAAATGACAAATGTAAAACTATTCAAACGAGAAAACTAATGGCCTGATTTATGTACAAAACGAAAAACAAATTTGATATATGGCAACAAACAACAACCACTGAATTACAGGCTCCTAACTTGGGATAGGCACATACAGGTCACCGTACTGCCTTCAACAATGAGTAAAGCCCATACCGCACAGTCAGCTATAAAAGGCTTCCGAAATGACAATGTTAAACAATTCAAACGAGAAAACTAACGGCCTAATTTATGTACAAAATAATGAAAATAAAACAAATATGTAACACATAAACAAACGACAACCACTGAATTACAGGCTCCTGACTTGAAACAGGCACATACATACAGAATGTGGCGAGGTTAAACATGTTAGCGGGCACCCAACCCTCCCTAACCTGGGACAGTGGTGTAACAGTTACAACATATGAACAAACTATAAAAATCAGTTGAAAAAGGCTTAACTCATCAGATAGATACAAAGAGAAAAACAAGTAACAAAAACAAAGACCGGAAGTGGCAGGGTACTTATACATTGACACAACAGAAAGACACTAAGTACAGATCTGAGAGTACTCACAGTTACAACTAGTTCAGAAGTACAGATCCGAGAGTACTCACAGTTACTGACAGCTAGTTCACAGCCAATAACAACTAATAAAAAAAATCATTCATCTAAGAAAATATCGATCAGTACACATCCAAAATCCAATGGATTTAGTGTAAAGAGGCCATTAACAGCTAGAGAAAAACATGACCTTGTGCAATGCCAAGATACAGGTATAGACAGATTGTAGAGCCATGAATATGCATATGTATATAAAAATAATATTTAGTTTGATTTTAATTTACTGATAACAAAATCAATATTAATGCCAATAAAAACAATATTCAAAAAGATATGTATGCATTTGATACTTGTTACTTTTGATGTGATTTGATTGTAAGTGTTGCTGCCGACCTATTGCTGTTCATTCAAAATTATAACCAAATTGCAATTTATTTCATCAAATTTAACTATTCAACTGGTCAGATATTTTATCCAACTGCTGTAAAAGAACCACAGTCAAGTCGTTAAAATTCAAATTGATAAAATAAAGCATAGTGACAATCTATTATGATTAAATTCTAAAATAGAATGGGAGAAAGGTTAACAGTGATTTTTTTCTCAAAAATGCCTTTATGTATCATACGTGGCCAAGAAAAATTATTATATATAAATTGGTCATTTTTTCATTTAAAGATAACTTTTGTATTAGTTATATATCTAATTAGAGAATTATTGTTGTCATGGTTACTTATATATTTGCAGATTATTGATTCGGTTTACCAAAGACAAGGGAGAGTATGAATGGAGAGGATATTTATACAGTGTTTTAATGTTTCTTGTTGCTGTTGTACAGTCGTTAATTTTACATCAATACTTTCATGGTGCTCAGTTAGTTGGAATGAGATTGAGAACGTCTATTATAGCTGCTGTTTATAACAAGGTTTGTCATATAATTATAGATTATCGTTGATCATCTCAACGAGATTGATTTTCTTGCTTGAGCTGGTACGGCAAAAGCGAGAAAAGCAATCGAGTTGAGATGACCAATGATAATTTGTTTATCGCTATTTTACCTATGACAACGTTGTCAATTTCATGTCAATTTCATTAGCAACGGCACGTGCCCCCTTAGTTTCTAGCGATAATTTTCATATCACTCGACTCTGCTGAGAAGGGAAATTATCAGTAAGATCAAAGGAAATTTTCGTAAAATAGCGATAAAATGCTTTCCCATAGAAAACGGGCTTTGATGGCCGAGTGGTCTAGGTAGTTCATCTACAGAGATCACTAGCCTGACAATACTGAGGTTTCAAGTTTGAACCCTGCTGGTGGCAGGTATATTGGACTGTGATCTTAATTGACTGGGCTTCCCAGTTTTGGGTCATGGTTCACTCTAGGCACTCTGGCTTCCTCAACCAATAAAAAAAAACTAGCTGCCGAGATATAACCAGGTGTTCTTAAAGTGGTGATATTAATGTTTGCCTTTGGTCTTGTTAGCAGTTTCGGCTTTAAAACAGCCAGTTAAATTTTTTGGAATGTTAATTTTTGCTTTTAAGATTTTTGTACAAATCAAATGGACAGGTTAATATTCACATTGGATAAATTTTGCCGCAATGTATCTCGTCAGAAGAATAGGAAATACATGAAAATTTCCTGATATATATGGTACTCACCACATCAAAGAATGCTTACCTCAAAGTACCTAACAGGTTGATAAGAAATATGTTTTTTCAATTAAATGGAAATTATCTTCGACTATTTGAATGTATGATGTAAATAAGTACTAATATTCATCGAGCATAAAGAAATATTACATTGAAAACTCCCAAAGATGATTCTACTTCTGAATTGTTTCATTTATTATGCTAAGATGTTCATAACCATTAAGCTCCAAGAATTCTAAATTTACTAGATAGACCTTAACCCTATTTGGGAATCTGTGACACTTGACTCCAGAATTTTCAACAATTGACGTCATACAACAATCACTTTTCATTTGTGGTGTCAGAAATTTTATACTGTGAAGTCTAAATTTGACATGAAGGTCAGTGATGTCCAGTAACAGTGAGAAAAAAAGGTATAATGTGTATTCATATGTTAAAGAAAATCAAATGATAGACTTTCTGATATGATTGAATTTCCTTTTTCAAATTACAGATGTTGAAGTTGTCCAGTTCTGCCAGAAGAACTTCTACTGTAGGGGAAATAGTCAACTTAATGGCTGTCGATGCCCAGAGATTTATGGACCTGATGACATACTTCCATACAATCTGGTCTGGGCCATTTCAGATTGCTATGTCTTTGTACTTCCTGTGGCAGACTCTTGGACCGTCCATCTTGGCCGGGTTTGGTGTTATGGTGTTACTGATACCTATTAATGCAGTCATTGCCAAAAAGTCCAGAGATTTACAGGTATCATAGCTGTTTCATGGAAGTGTTTGAGAACTTGATGTATTTTTATAACTAGCATACAATATCTGTTAAAAATGAATAACAGAAGGTATATGCCAATATTGTAAATAAAATCATCAACACAAAGAAAAAAAAAGAAAAAAAGATCTATATGTCAACATACAGCCTTCAACAATAGACTAGTATCTATACAACAATACAATATGTCAAGCTTTAAGTCGCACTTAGTTATGATTAAATTTATGGAAGGTCTGCCAGGGGCGTGGCGGGCGTGCACCCCCCCCCTTAAAATTTGCAAAGCATGGGTTTTCCTCAGCTTAAAGAATATTTCCATAATTTTACCTTAAAGAAAATTGAAGTTTCCGCCCCGCCTAACCTTAAATCCTGGTTCGGCCCCTGTCTGCACTCAACCCTAAATTCCTTAAAGGAAAATAAAAACATTTAAGATATGAGTAATGACAATCACTGACAAGATTCATGGCGTCGGCCATGAAACCTTCTATTATTCCATTCTCAATTTTATTATGAAATGTTGCAATCTAACACTCTTAACCCTTAGACTGCTACGCGCGACTATTGTCGTTCCGATAAAGCAGTCCGCTACTGCTACACACGACTATTGTTGTTTCCGTATCTCATTTGTTTACACAGTTACCATGGAATGGGCTGAGTCAATATTCATGAGATTGCAGCAGTTTAGACTTGTATGGATTCTGATTGGTTAAAATTCGGCGTACTTTCAAGTTTCTCTTGACTTTAAATCAGGTATAAGCAATGAAACCAAAAGTGAAAAATTTAGATGAAAAAAGTAACAAAATGGCGGAAATTGTTTGGAGTGATGGGCAACACGTTCAGAAGTATTTCAATGATAACGATGTAACAGCGGCGGCCAATTTAAATGATTTGGACCAGAACAGAAGATATAATAGATGGAAATAGAAACATTCTAGCAAAACTGCGAACAGAAGACTTTTAAAGCGGGAACCACGGGGATTCCCCAGACGATATACGAAATGGATGACATGAAACAGGATTTTTGATGTTTATCATTGCGCCTTTCAACTGTGAATCAATATTGATCACTGACATCGATAGATTCAAACATTATGTTTGTCAAGATTATTTATTGACGAAAGTTATATCAATGAACTTGTTGTTAAAACATATTTGTACATGGAAGTAACAGTCGAAAGTCGGAAGGAAAATACCGGAAAATAGTTGCATAAAAAAAACCGTTGGTCTGAGAAGAAACTTTTTTCTTTTGATAATCGCAATGGAACTAGTTCTTAAAAGAGATTTTTAACAATATTGGTTCAATTCTGAAGTCATGGATACCTTTGATAAGTTTTTACATTGATGGATTCGCGTTAATAAAACATGAAAAAAAAAAAATTTACCTTTGTTTACTTCTATTTGCACCTGTACAGGTAATAAATGACCAGAGACTCACACAAAAATAAAATAAATGAAAAATACAGAATATAACAATACTTTTTTATATAAGTTTTATTGATGAATATTCAATATTTACAAAGATATTGCAATTGTAAGTAAACATCTTTATTTCATCAGTGATTAAAATTTTATTCAGCAATACACAAAAGTACAATAGAAATGAATGCAGCAGTCTAAGGGTTAATAAGAAAAATACAAAAATGCTGTACGTCTGAGTATATTTCATTCAGCAGCGTCATGAATAGATAAAAGACAGAGGAAACACGACTACATTTAAAATTTAATGGAAATTTAATTTCCAGTTTTGTGCCACTTAATGTGTTTTACACATGAATTGACTGTCAAACTAAAATATATAGGTAATTTGCTTGAATTTGAAGTATTTTATTGATAAAAAAACAAACTTTCATGTATATTTTTCCAGATGAAACAAATGGGATTAAAAGATAAAAGAATCAAACTGATGAATGAAGTTTTAAATGGTATAAAAGTAAGTAAAGACAATTACAAAGAATGAAATAAGAAATAATACATGCATGCACAAAGAATACAATTGTTGTTATGATTTACCCAAGAAAAAATATATCAACCTCTTGCTTTGACCTTGGTAAATATGATATTATTATTTGCTGAATAAATCCTTGAAGCACTAGGTCAGAACTAGTATTTTTAAATAATTAAATTGGTCAGATAAAAAACCTCATTAGTTGGAATATGAAATACAATTTTTTTTTTATTGGTTTGCTCTTAAATTGGAAGAACAAAAATACAAACATTAATTTGAAATTTATTATGGGAACTTATAAAAACTCTGATTGATTTAAAATAAAAATGAATGGTTTATTTCTGCAGAAAGAGTTGAGGGAATTACATGTCCTTATTAAATAAATGGAGATTAGGAATAACAACTTTTCAAAATGTAAATGTTTTTTTTTCTAGTTCAGCTTTAAATTATAATGTTTGATTTATTTATAGGTTCTTAAACTTTATGCATGGGAGCCATCATTTGAGAAGCAGATTTTAGACATACGTAACAAAGAATTAGTCGTTCTGAGGAGGATGGCATATCTAAATGCTGTTGTGTCATTTACATGGACTACAGCTCCATTCTTGGTAATATTGTCTTAGGATTAAAAAATGTCCAATCATAGCTTGTTGAACTTTGATCCTGTGACTGGATGACTTGACCCAAACAAATATATTGTAGAAATCAATCATTGGTTTCTATTAACACAAAGTGATAATAGAGTATCTGTTAATGAGAGAGAAACTTAACAGCAAAAGAGTCCAAAAACCAAAAGGCATTTGTGTATTTGATACTGATAAATATGTATGCCTTATCTCAATCACAGTTGAAAGTCCATGCTACACAAGGGTATTTGTTTTATATCACTTGACATAATCATCACGCTTACTATCTGATGTTAGTATCAACCACAGCTAACTAAACTATAAGAAATATACATATGGTAGAATTTTTTTTCTTTTATAACCCCTATTTTAAATGGTAGTGCAATATTAGACCTGCAAAGTTTAGCTCTTTGGCTGAAGTTGATGACATCTTGGGGTGGTGCTCTATATTTCCCTTTTTTCTAATCAATTTATACTTTCTGTGAAATGTAGATAATGTTTTTTTATAATGAGCATGTGTTTACATTATATCTGCATTCAAGATAGTCAAGTTTTTAATATGCTTGCTAAAGCTTGCTTGTTGAATATTCAACAGTCATGACAGTTAAATCTACTCAGTGGAGAAGTATAGTAATTTACTCTCACCAGAAGGAAAAAGTATACAATTTTTTTTCTTGACAAACTTCTGTAAGACATATTTGAAAAAAATTCTAAAATATATTGTAGGTGTCATTGGTGACATTTGCTGTGTATGTAATGATAGATCCAGCTAATGTCCTGGATGCTGACAAGGCTTTTGTCTCACTCTCTCTGTTTAACATTCTGAGATTTCCCCTATCTATGTTACCTCAGGTCATCTCAATGTTAGTACAGGTAAGTTTTATATGTATTATTATTCAAGTCATATTTTAAAAAAAAATAAAATTTGAAATAAGATTGAAAAATACAAAGAACTGTTATATACAAGAATTTTGAATTGTAAAAAAGAATTTTCCTCAGTGCAAAAATGAGTGAGTTACCCCACAAACAGGTGCCTGATTAACAGCTTTACATAATGTCACTGTATGAGATAAGGGGTGTTGATTCTGTGGTTTGTTGGAATTTGTGGAAAAGTGTTACCAACACAATTTGGCATTTAAACTCTTTCTTTTGCTGTGTATTTACTTATATTTATGGATACCAGCTTTCATGGATTAAGGTGAACCACCAATTTAAATATTCATGGAAGTACAAATTTTCTAACGGCTCATTTTGAGACTCTTGCAAAACCATGAAATCTAATATTCATCTATCTGCGAAAATTGATACCCATGAAAATAAATGAATCCACTGTCTTCAATTTTATTGTATAGAATCATTAAATTTGTCATAAAGTTTAGGGATTAAGCACTAAAAAGTAAGGACAGTTAAGCAATGGTAACATATATATTTTATTATTTGACATAGAATTGTAATAACATTCAGACTGAAAATTTAGGCAGACAGGCAAATGTGTAGCGAAAAAAGGAAAAGGAAGAGTCTCTGAGAGGCTCATAGCATGTAGTATGACATAGTCAAACTAGTTACAGATTCACTCAGTTCCTGTTGAAATGAATTGATAATTCTAAAATGGACTTTAATTGCTTATATTCTTGTCATTTCGACTGTACTGGATTTTTGTTTCATTGACAATCATACCACATCTCCTTATTTAATATTAACTAGTGTTGTTGGGTTGCTGTCTCATGAAACTTTACCGCACATTTTCTATTATTCATATTCACTATTGTTATTTTTTTCAGGCAAGTGTATCATTGAAGAGAATACAGACATTCCTTAACAATGATGAGTTAGATTATAGTGCATTTTCCAGGGATATCAATGCTAGTAAGTTTGATTAAATGTATATTTACTCAGATCAAGTAATGGATCGGAATATATTCAATAACATTCTGATTTTTTACCTTCGGGCAATAAGATGAGCTCATAAAGCTAAATATGCATACTCCTTTAAAGCCCCTGATATCACTCTCTGGTTTTGACAGGAGTTAGCATAGCCCAAGTTAAAGCTTTATTTATTTATTTTTCACTATTGTAGTTCTTATATTGATCTATACACATTGGGTTTGGATATGTGTGATTATCAATAAAAGGCACTAGATTTTTTATGCCATGTTAAACAATTTAACTCTTTTCACAATTAAACATTTACAGAGCTACTTCCCATATACTGTGGATTCATTATTATTCATGGGATACACATTTTGTGGATTTCATGTGTACATGTGAACCATGAATTTGAATGTTCAATAAACTACAAATTTACTATAGGCTTGTTTGCAGTCTTTTGTAAAACCACAAAATCAAATATTCAGGAAAAGAAAGGAATAAACAGCATTCACTGTGTAGAAATTTGGACTTACGATGTCATGAATTTTTTTATGCCCCACTTACGATAGTAAAAGGGGCATTATGTATTCTGGTCTGTGCATCCATTCGTTCATCCGTCCATCTGTCCGTCTGTCCAGCTTCAGGTTAAAGTTTTTGCTCAAGGTAGTTTTTGATGAAGTTGAAGTCCAATCAACTTGAAACTTAGTACACATGTTCCCTATGATATGATCTTTCTAAGTTTAATGCCAAATTAGAGTTTTGACCCCAATTTCATGGTCCACTGAACATAGAAAATGATAGTGTGAGTGGGACATCCGTGTACAAGGGACACATTCTTGTTTTTCATGTATACATTTTTGTTGCCATGACCCTCATGATCACCAACACTTAATACAACAATGGAATTATTTATCTCTGTTTTTTATTACAGAACATGCCATTACCATAGAAAAAGGAATATTCTCATGGGAGAAAGAGTCTACAGCTACACTGAAAGAGTAAGTTTGGCTGTCAGTACCTGTGAAAGAAGTTAACATTCTTAGTAGATGAAGTGCCCGTCTGGCATCCAAACTTATAAGACTGGTATCTTTGATGAATTTGTTAAAAGAAACTCAAATTTTAATGTCCATTACTATGTTGATTTTGCATATTCATTTCTAGAGTCTGGAATCAACAATTTCAAAAACATTATTCTGACTGAGCAAACATAGACTTTGCTTTTAATCTTAAATGTCACATGGTTAGTGAGAAAGCAGCAAATACCAATATTAAAGCTCATAGTTAAGTTTAAGCAATTGAACAAACACAACTGAAGTGCTGACTTGCTTATCAGAGCAATAAAAAAATCTGGCACAAATTTAAAAAGTATATCTACTAAAGCTTAAAATGTATGAAACTATAAAGAAATAAAATACAGAAATGCTAGCATATTTTTTGGCCTATTTTTTTGTATACTTTGCTAAAATGTTTTTATGGTCCAGAACTAAGTAAAAACTTGTGTATGAATTTTGTAAATATAAAAAAATATTGTTTACCAAGACAAGATTAATGAACAAATAAATGTATGAGATCAATAATAATGTGATTTCAGGAAATATTGCATAAAAATAAAACTTTTGTTATTAAAAATTTGGGTCCTTTTTCCCTGCAATATTAACCATGTTGCTTTTTAAAAATAACAAAATCACCACAAAATTTTCTGAGTTCACAGTAATTGTAGATTTATAAAGAAAAATGTAATTATCGGTTGAATAGTATGCTTGTAAGCATTACAGTTTTTATTAATCATATTTCAGGCTGTCTATAGAGATCCCTGATGGTTCATTGGTGGCTGTAGTAGGACAGGTGGGTTGTGGGAAGTCATCGCTCCTGTCAGCCATATTGGGAGAGATGGACACTATCTCAGGAAAAGTTAACGTCAAGGTTTGTTTATTTACAACTAATTATTCACTAATGATTGAATACAGAAAAGTTTCAAGTTTTGTCATTGAAGGATTGATATATTTATATTGGTAGTCCTGCATTTTGTGTTTTGTCATTTTATGATATGTTATGACAGATCAAACTAGATTTACATCCTTTTAATCTAGTTTTAAAGAGTTATACTCCTTGAGCTTAAAAAATACATAAAAGTTAACAATTTGGGTTACGGTTCAGTTCAACTTTCTATTGAATTACGCCCCTTGCATGCAGAAAAAAGTACTACCAAATGTTCAATTTAAGGTATTTCTACGGAGTTTTAGAGTTTTTAAACACAAGATTCTTAAAATGTATTGGAAATGGAATTGTTCATGAAAAGATTTTTATTTCCAGGGAAGTATGGCTTATGTTGCCCAGCAGGCCTGGATTCAAAATACAACTCTACAAAACAACATCTTATTTGGTAAAGATTTAAACCAGAGTGAATACGATAAAGTTGTAGATGGCACAGCACTCAGACCTGATCTGGAGATCTTACCTGGTGGTGATCAAACAGAAATTGGTGAAAAGGTAAAATTGAGTATTTCAGTGTGATACTTTGTGTTTAGTTGTTGTGATGACATCATCGTTATAAAAGAACCAGGGGATATTTAGTTATTGTGATGCCCTCATCATTTTAGGGCCAGGGGGTATTAAGATGTGATGCCGTCATTTCAGGGCCAGGGGGTATTTAGTTGTGATGCCCTCATCATTAAAGTGCCAAGGGACATTGCTATTCCCTTGTATGCCATACTGTCATTTCCTCTCTACAATTTTTTTTTATCAGTTCAGTCCTGAACATGCATGAAATATTTGCCACTGGATATTAAGCAAACAACAATCAATCAATCAATTCTTTTCAGTTAAGTTGTTTAAATCTGTTTACTCAGTTTCCATGTTTTGGCTGATTTTCCATTAAGCTATACATGGTACCAAGGAAAAACACTACAAAAATGGGGTTACTGTCTGTAGGGGCAATTTATAATTTCTCTTACACTTACACTTTCACTGTAAAAAGCACCTGCCCTTTTCAAAGTACCCGGCTCCCATGTATGTTTTTATGGAACAGCCCTTAGCAAAATGGCGGTCATCTAAATGTTAGAATTAAAAACCCATGAAAATGAAAAGATAAAAGGTAAGGTATATGTCTAAGGATACAGCCATTGCACTGAAATATAGTGTTGATTTGAATCAAACATCAGGATTTGTTCTTTAAATTTTGTTCTGTTGTCAATTTCACAAGTTTTGGTTGAATACATATAAAACAAACTTATTAGTAAAGGTTATCTTACCAATGTTGTAATTAGATCTTTGAATATAGTTTACATTGGCACTAATATCGATTTTGTCATCAGCAAATTAAAACATAACTAAATTTGTATTCTTTTCAAATGGGATGTATTAAGACACACCCACGTTCGTTTTGATCTATAAAGAGGTTAAACTCCTAACTATCCTACTGTCTGTTGATACATTTATTTTTGGCATTGCACTAGTCATGTCTTCTTTGACTGTCCATGACGTTAAAATACTAAATCCCTGGGATGTGTTTTAGTTGATTTTAGTCTCTGATGCATGATTTTTTATTATTAATTGTTTTGGCTTTTAACTAGCTGTCAGTAACTGTGAGTACTCTCAAATCGTACTTTCTTGTTTATTTGACCTGTTGATACTAATTGTATTGCTTTTTTGTTAATTAATGTAATTCAGGGTTATATCTGGTCTATATACCAGCTTTTATAAGTGTTTGGTATTACTATAAATTTTCACTTCGTACTATGAACATCAAAATTATTTATTTTGTAAAAATATTTCCTTTCTCTATTGGAACTGTATACGTATACCTAACAACAAAATTATTTTTATTTACCTGTGTTTAAAGTTATTGCAAACGGCTTATATTTTTGTTCGAGCAGATTGTTTTTCTTTAATTGTTTAACATTCCATACCGATATAACATGTTACTTTTATTATTCTTCCCTTAGTTTATTTATTTTGTATTTACATTGTATCATAGGTCAAATTTATTTGTTCAGTGTATGTTCAATGGTGTTAATATGTCCTTTGATTGAGTTAAGCTATTTCAGTTGATATTTTATAGTGTGTCTTTCTATGTTGTGATGTTACACTATTGTTTCAGAAAAAGGGTGAAGGTTTGGTACCATTAAAAACGTTTAAACCCGCTGCATTTGTTTGCACCTGTCCTAAGTCAGGAATCTGATGTTCAGTAGTTGTCGTTCGTTGATGTGGTTCATAAGTGTTTCTCGTTTCTCGTTTTTTATATAGATTAGACCGTTGGTTTTCCCGTTTGAATGGTTTTACACTAGTAATTTTGGGGGCCCTTTATAGCTTACTGTTCGGTGTGAGCCAAGGCTCCGTGTTGAAGACTGTACTGTGACCTATAATGGTTTACTTTTATAAATTTTGACTTGGATGGAGATTTGTCTCATTGGCACTCATACCACATCTTCTTATATCTATATATGTGTTAAAAGTAAGATGAACACAACTCTTAATACCATTATATACATAAACACAGGCCATAATCTTGCCGGTGAAATGACAATTTAAGTCGCCAAAGAATTTTGAAAATCGCTAAATCTCGCCAGCCGACTGACTATGAAAATCAGTAAAAGGGAGACAACTTGTGAATTACAAGTCTCCCAGGTAGAAAAAAATGGCGACTGACAAGGAAAATCGAGATTTTCGAAACAACCCAGGACTACTACTGTCGAAAATCAAATTAGATAAATACAACGGCGACTTTGAACATCCTTGGATATAGCATTCAAAACTATTCAATCAGAAAACTGACTGTCTGTTAAAGTTATCATTTTACGATGATTTTTAATCATAGGATGTTGCGAAATCACTCAGCTGATTTGTTTTATTTTTATTTATTACGAGTTGATCAAATTGTACTATTCGGTGGGTTAAGGGTGGGAATTAACGGTAGATTTATTATATTCATTGAATAAAAATTGAATTATAAAAGGTAGAAAGACAGCTGATGGATAATGTGATAGCAAATGTACGACACTCGACCAGCTGTGATCAGCAGTGGATTTTTTTTTTTCACGACATATTCGTTGATAGGGAAGATATTTTTATAAAATGATAGAAATTAGCTCTGTATCGGTTAATTAATATGTGATTGACATATATTTTCATTTATAGGCTTACAATCTTTAACGAGAATCTCAATTTACAACTACACGTAACATGATGTCCTGGACATTCAATAATGTTTTACAAAATAATGACAAGTGGTGATATAAATTAAATTCCCAGTCATGTGAAATTCATCAGGTAAACTGGGAGTCATATTTTTCTGGACATTTAAAAATAAATTGAGGCAGATGCACATGAATTTAATGCATCATAATATTACTAGGCTACTCCCTTATGTCCCAAGCAACAAATTTTATTCAAACTTAAATTCAAGTTGACAGTACAAATGGTATCAATGAATATAAAATAACAACTATATTGTCTAAACTTTTTTATTAAGAACTTTCTATAGATACATTTTGTACAATAACATGAAAAAACTGCAAGTATATTTTTTATTGCATATAAAACAATTTCCTTAGTGATAAGCACGAGAACACTATGCAACCGAAAGGGTTATGGAATCTCACTTCTCCCTTCTCTCTCATGGAAGGAGAAGTCACTTCTCCCTCTCTAAAATCCTAGATTAGGCCCTGCATAAACAAATCTACAAATAATTGTAAGGTAATTTTTGTGTGATTGAAATTTAAGGATTACATGTTCTTTTCTTCTAACTTTCCCTTTCTCTGACAAAAGGAACTTGACATTCCATTTATTCAGTTCGCAGTTGACACATCAACTATTTAGAAAAAGAATATTTATACCTATCACAATCAATGTTGTTTTTACAGGGTATAAATCTGAGTGGTGGTCAGAAGCAGCGAGTCAGTTTAGCCAGAGCTGTATATCAAGATGCAGACGTATATCTCCTTGACGACCCACTTAGTGCTGTTGACTCACATGTTGGGAAACACATCTTTGATGAAGTTTTGGGACCAAATGGACTTTTGAGAAATAAGGTAACTAGTGACCACAGTTTAGAGAAATAAGGTAACTAGTGACCACAGTTTAGAGAAATAAGGTAACTAGTGACCACTGTTTATTTGAGTGTGGCTATAATGTTTATATCGGCTGTGGTCATATAATCATTTTATTTCATGAGCTCAAATTTGAATGTATCAATACACCAAACTTGAGTTTGTCTTATATTGAATGAAATGAATCATTTTTCTGTATTTTTTGAAATATTTCTAATTGGTAATAAAGAAAATAAAAACATGCTAAACAGTGTTTTCACCACATTTTTTATACACTCAACTCTGTTTAAAATTTGAGGAATGATTTTTAATATCAATATTTTTCAATTAATTACATTATTTTCTATTTAGTTTGGACTATGCAATGAAAAGAGATCTGCTGTATTAATGCTGTAATTATCTCAAAAGCCCCTATATGTATTGACATGGTTTGTTTCCAAGAAGTCAGTAGCCTTAAAGTATGGAACTTCCAGCATTTTACCGAAAAAAACCCAACATATTTTGATTTTATTTTCTCTGTACAAACATGACAAAGGAGATTTCAAGTTTACATGATCAAAATGAAATTTGTACAATGGGTGTGATTTATTATGTTTTGTAACTTGTTAAGAAAGAGTAAGAAATGCTTAGCAAGCTTCAGATTTCCACCTGTTTTCAGCCTCATACAAAACTAATATCTTGAGATACTCTACATCAATGTACATATATAAAGATATTACATACAATTTCTTGCCTGAAAAATTAATGATTTAATTTCATACTTTGGTCTGTTTCAGGAATAATTTAATGGGGGACAGAAGGGAACTTTTTAATTTTTTCTGGCCATGCATAGAATTCTGATATATATTTTCAGGAATATTTCAGGCAATCTTTCTAAAAATAATCACAACTCATAAGATTTTAAAAGAAGTGTCACTCACCGAGTATACAATCAATTCTGGAGGCCCTTTTAAAGGTGTATTGAACCAGAGAGTACAATAACTTTTTCTTTGATAAAATTTTCCTCTTCTTTTTCAGACAAGAATTTTAGTAACGCATGGAATCAGTTTCCTATCTAAGGTGGATATTATCATAACCTTAGTGGATGGTAAAATTAGTGAGATGGGATCATACAGCGATCTTATCAGCCATGCTGGAGCATTTGCTGAGTTTCTCAAGAATTACCTCAACGAAGAATTAGAAAAAGAAGATCTAGAAGACGAAATTGAAGGTGAAGTATATTGCAGGGTATTATAATTCTGTTAAAACCAAAAAATAAAATAAAATCCATTTTATATGTATGAAAAACACTGGAAATTGTGTGTTGGCATTTTAAAAGCCAAGTTTTGTTTTTGATAAGCATAAAAGAACACATAAATGAAATTGATACATTGATATATAAAAATGCATAACAATACTCCTAGGTATTCATGAATGCCAGCAACATAGGGCCATAAATACAAAATTTGACTTTTTTTAAAAACTTATAGATATCCAGTTGGTTCTTGAATATCCTTTATATTTATATTAGCATATACACATACAGTTCTTGTCAGATTTTTTTATAAAATTTATATCAAAGGTTCATATCAGCAATGTCTTGGACAAGTCCAAAGATCAGTGCCAAACTACTGTTTTTACTGGAATTATGTCAGTGTTTTCCCTAGGCTATTCAAGCATTGCGGTACCGCTACGCATAAATTTCGACCGCCATGCTTTCATCATTGCCGCAATGCATCCCGCTATGTGTGAAAATTATAACTGTGTAAAATATTTATTATCGATATTTTGAAAGTGAATTGACAAGTGACAACACTCCCCAGGTGTTTTAACTCATCCGACTGATAATTGGATGCATCACGTCGCGCGTGCCGGGATTTTACAACCTTCTTGATTAGTTGGTTATACATCGAGACTTCGGTTACATAATAGAAGTGGCCAGTTAGCTGATAAATAGATAGTCAGATTAATCTCCAATGCACATCTTTCTGTGCTAAATAAAAGTTTAACCTTTTCCAGTATGACATCGTTATTTTACTGTTTATCTTTAGAAAGTAGAAATTTAAAATTTGGTATAGTCTCTGGTATCATAAAGTAAAACCAACGTAATTTCACAGAGAATGAACAAAACATTTTTTTTAATGAAGTTTCGTCGTTATATCATCGGCTATATTTACATCCATGAATTATTTTTTGACTGGTCACAACAATCAGTTATTTTTAGATTAGTCGCAGTTGATTGATTATATCAAAGAATACACATCACTGCCACCGGGCGGAGAAAAAGACGTGTCTTATGAAATATTTAAAAGATTTCATAGAAAGACTTTCAAAAAAACGTAGTTAGTTACGGAAATATTGTTTTTAATAAACTTGTGTTGTTCTATTTGTATTTCAATGGGTCACAAGCTTAAGTGCAGCGGATTCATTTGCCATTTTTTACACAAGTGGGGCTTAATTTCTTTCACTTCGGCAAGATTGGATTTTTACAATTATGAAGCGTTATAAATAAATCGGACAGGGATGTATGTAAAAAAATAGTTAATTGTCATGAAATAAAATGTTAGCTTAGCTTCCAAACAGGTTATTGCCAAATATGTCATCTGTATGTCCGTAGGTCAGATATTCTTCATTGACTACTTCTGTAATTAACGCAAATAATTTTTTTTTTTATAATATTGTTTCCTGTAAAATCTCTGTGAAGCAATGATGACATTCAAAGTTTTATTTAACAAGTTGCTGTTGATGCTGAAATCATTCTATCAGCAAAATTCGAAGAACAATCATCAATCATTTAAACAACCATGTCCAAGCAACCATCAAAGAAAGGTCGCCTTACTGGCCCAACTTTTTTGACAAGTTGGTTAGAGAAGACTCAGAAAAGTTTACTCCTTCATCAAATTGTAGTCAGACAGAAAAAAATCATCACCATGAGCAAAGCCCTGAAGTTGAGAAACAGACTATGTCAAAAAGTGCTGAATTGCTTAATACATATATCAATTGAAGGACCAAAGAAGGAAGATTTTGATTTTGAAAAATGTGTGGTGACCTTTTGAAAGTTGAAACAGAGGAAGATATCTGACAACAAAATTATGTGTACATGACAATAAATTGTAAATAACTATTGCAGACTGGATTTTTTTTATTATTGCTTATAAGGTCTTTAGTTAATTACTCTCATCTGTGATAAATACGTTAAAGTTCCATGAATTGTTTGAATTGTTGTTCCTATAATAAAACAATTAGATTGGTATATGGCTTTAAACATAAATATTATGTAGTGTAACTAATTCTGAAAAAGAAGCGTCGTGTGCCGCGTTGCAAATTCACCATGGACCCACCATGCATGAAAAATTTTCTAGGGAAGACACTGTATGTCCCTTTAAAATGGTATTGATATGGAAATTTGCTACATCAAACATTTGTATTATAAACAAGATCTTGTACTAGTTCAATAGTCAGTGCAGATCAAGTCTTTTTTAATTGGAGCTCTGACCCTTGGAAATATTCTTACTTTTGCAACACTGACCCAGTCGCATTATTCGCATTAATATAAACTCCTGAAATTTACAGTAACATAATTTTATTTTCAGATTTACAAATAGCAGAAGATATGGTTAACAAGTTAGAGAATGTGATGGATGACAGTCAGACTAAACTACTCAAACAGTAAGTGTGTGTAATGCTACATTGATTGTTCAGAAAGTAATGTTACAGCTGACAATGAATTGGTGTTTTACATTCAGTGGCAAATATTACATTCATATCAGGACAAGAACATGCTTAGGGCTGATCCAAAATTAATCTGGTGTGGGGATGGGAGGTACTCAAATCAGTGAATTGCAGATGAATGGATTTTCCTAAGAATTTTGTAAGAATTGATAGTAAAATGAAAATTTTAAATTAATGGGTGGTTGGGGTCTAAAAGAAAGTGCCTTCAATGCCCCCATACATCTAATTTTGGATCAGTCATATTGCGATATTAATATGAACCCTGCTTTGTACAATTCCAATATGATGATTTTTAACATGCTAGTTCACAAGGTAGCAGTCTGCAGAAAGACCCCACCCTATGTAGAGACATTATTCTGACTCGAACTTGAGTGAAATAAATGAAGACACTTTTTTTTCCTTTGTCTCAATTAAGTAATAACCTATTGTCTGACAAAATATTCTTTTCTATACTTTATATAGCAGGTTGGAAACAGATATAGAGAGGTAGCTATGATTCACAATTCACAACCACAGAAACATAATCGTATCATAACATTTTTGTATTTAATTTGATTTGTTTTTGATGTAGTTTGTTTTTTTCTAATCTTAGTCCATTTAATTTTTAGTCTGAATAATAGTGTTAGGGACAAGAGAAAATGTAGCTGTGCATATAGTAAAGAAAAAGAAACAATACTAGTTTTAAAGAAAAAATCTTCTAAGGAGTCCAAGTTTTCTCCATTGTTTTAATTTATAATGTGGCAGAGTGTTTAGCCGTATTTCGTTTTCAATAATCAAGATTTTCAAAATCATTTTTGTTGTTGTGTTTTATTTGAAGCATGAAAACAATGTTGCATGAAAATTATCTGTAAGAAAACATTATTGTTTTGCAATTTTTGCAATATTTGATTGCATCGGTCAGAAATGGCTGCAATTTGTTTACTGGAAATCTAAATAACCTAAATCAGTAAAAAGTAATTTGCTACAATAAAATCATTGATTTTGTATGCACAAATATAGAAATACATTACATTTATCTCTATTCTAATTGAACAGGATTTGCCATAACCAAGAATGATGTTGACTAATGCAGAATATTTCATTGGCATCAATTTGCCATTTCATAATCTAATGCATTGTGGATAAATTTGCTGTTAATACACCAAATAAAAATAATGATGTTATTCATTGTTAAAGAAGTTGTTAACAATTGCAACATGTTGAAAAATTACCCAGAATGCATTAGATTCTACAAATTAAGGAAAATTCCTAGACATTTTTAATGTTTGCAGTTCAGATTTTATACACAATGATATGAAATATTAGGTTATTAATCATGTCATATGTAAAAAGGGTAATATCATCATTGGAAAAAAATTAAGAAAGGAAATGCCATAGTTTTGGCATTTAACAATGCTTTTGTTATTTTGTCTGTACAAAATTTTATGTATTAAATGTGTCTGATTGTGTAAAAAACATTCTTAATTCATCATAGCAGCAGACAAATAGTCTTGGAATTGATCCAGCAGTTGTGCCATTAGGCTTTGCCATATTTTGGGGCTATTCCATCAAAATAAATGTGTGAGGTTTGGACTGTAAATTTTATTATTGGACATGAGTCATTTATGCTTGCATAAATATTGAATGTGTGCAAAATAAGATAAATGAAGGTTGCAGGAAGATTTTGGAAGTCCCTCTGCCCCAACTCAATCCCCTCCCCTCATGCATTTAAGTGGACAAAACCCTAAATGTGTTAGGCACTTAAATACCTAGGATATTTGAAGTTCTTGATAATACTATTAAAGTAATTATGAAAGTTTGAACAAAGCAGATACTTTGGTGTTTTCTCCAATTTTACAAGGTATGTCCATAAATATTTGGGTATTGATATCACAGAGTAAACTTAGTTACAGATGCAATTTTTTTTCCTAAATTTTAGCAGCTGTCCAATTAGATTTTAGAATAAAACATCTAACATGTTTCTAGCTTCCTAAATATACTTTATACATAGTGTCAGGCAAATTGTAGAATCTTTATCCCATAATTGATTTTTGTTAGCCATTTTTTTCATTATGAAAATTATATCTTAATTGTAGCACATTGTAGTATCCATTTTGTCTTATTTGTGATGTCAAGGATAAAAAAATGTCTGTTTCATAATCTACGGGTAACTTCATTGTTGGTACCCCAAAATAAAAAATGTCATATCATTTGTTGAATTTCCATTGTTTGGGACATTTTTTAGCCAATTACAATTTGGTGCCTGATTTGGAAAATATTACCCTGAAATCAGCAAATTGTTTGGTGACAGATTAATATTGTTTTCAGAATCAAATCTTTTTATTTGGTTATTGTAGGCAAGTGTCTGTTCTTTCTCAGAGAACCAGGACAGAATCAGAAATGTCTGATGGTCAAAAGTCAGATATTTTAGGCACTTCATGGAAGGGTTCCCAGGGACTGATAAATCAGAAGATGGCACCTAAGAAACAGAAGTCAGTAATTGCTGCGGACACTGAAAATCTGAAATTAAAAAAACAAGTCAAAGAAAAGAAAAAGGAAGAAAAATTGATACAAGCTGAAGGTGTAGAGACAGGCAAGGTAAGTAGAATAAGGTGCAAGCATAGATGTTGAATTAGGGAATGTCTGTATTCCGTCTCAAAAGCTTACTTTTATACGACCGCAAAAAAATTTTGTGGTCGTATATTGGTATGACGTCGTCGTCGTCGTCCGAAGACACATTGGTTTTTGGCACTCTAACTTTAGTTTGAGTGAATGGATCTCTATGAAATTTTACCATAAGGTTCAATACCACAAAAGGAAGGTTGGGATTGATTTTGGGGGTTATGGTACCAACAGTTAAGGAATTAGGGGCCAAAAAGGGGCCAAAAATAAGCATTTTTGTAACTTCCAGACATAACTTGTGTGTTAGTGTATGGATCTCTCTGACACTGTACCACAAGGTTCCATATCACAAAGGGAATGCTGGGATTGATTTTGGGGGTAATTGCCTCCAAATTTTAGGAATTAGGGGCCAAAAAGGGGCAAAAAACAAGCATTTTTCTAGTTTCATGACAATAACTTGTGTGTAAGTGTATGGATCTTTATGAAATTGTACTACAAGGTTCCATATCACAAAGGGAAAGCTTGAATTGAGTTTGGGGGTAATTGCCTTAAATGTTTAGGAATAAGGGGCCAAAAAGGGGCCAAAAATAAGCATTTTTCTAGTTTCCAGACAATAACTTGTGTTCAAGTGTATGGATCTCTCTGAAATTGTACTACAAGGTACCATACCACAAAGGGAAGGCTGGGATTGATTTTGGGGTAATTCCCTCAAAATTTGAGGAATTAAGGGCCATAAAGGGGCAAAAAAACAAGAATTTTTCTAGTTTCAGGACAATAACTTGTGTGTAAGTGTATGGATCTTTATGAAATTGTACTGCAAGGTTCCATACCACAAAGGGATGGCTGGGATTGAGTTTAGGGGTGATGAATCATAAGGGGTTCAAAAAATTGGGGGGGGATTTTTTTTTCCTTTTTTTTCTTTAAAATTTTCCATTTTAAATTGGTTATTTCTGATTTATATATAAAAGCAAATAATAATGATATGGTTTGAATAGGTAAATTAAAATTTTTTAAATTCTTAGACCACATTCATTCTGCGTCCGAAACCTATGCTGTGTCAAATATTTAATTACAATCCAAATTCAGTGCTGTATCAAGCTTGAATGTTTGTGTCCATACTTGCCCCATCTGTTCAGGGTTCGACCTCTGCGGTCGTATCAAGCTGCGCCCCAGCAAATGTGCCTGTTTTTTTCATACGTCTAGAATGCAAAATAAACTAACCTACATCAGATTAATTGAGGTCTGCCATTTTATAAAAAAAACTAGAGGCTCTCAAGAGCCTGTGTCGCTCACCTGATTCTACTTTGATTTTGGAAATCATGTAAAAATAGATAAAAATCATAACAGATACCCTAATAATGAGTGAGGTCAAATTTTGTTTAATATTGGTCCTGTCATTTAATAAAAAATCCTGGTGGCCATCTTGAACAGTAAATCGGCAACAAATTAGCAACACTTCATCAGCATCTCATAAGAAACATTTATGCCATGTTTGGTTTCATTCCATTCAGTGCACCTCTAGAAGAAGCATTTGTATGTATTTCCCATAGGGTCCTATGTTAAACTAAGTCCTCCACTGGCGGCCATCTTGGATGATGGATTGGCTTCAAAGTAACAACACTTGGTCAGACCCTCATAAGGAACATTCATGCCATGTTTGGTTTCATTCCATTCAGTGGTACTCTAATAGAAGACATTTGTGTGTATTTCCAATAAGGTCCTATGTTAAACTAAGTACCCTGCTGGCGACCATCTTGGATGATGGTTCGGCTAAAAAGTAACAACACTTGGTCAGCACCTCATAAGAAACATTCATGCCATGTTTGGTTTCATTCCATTCAGTGGTTCTCTAAAAGAAGACATTTGTATGTATTTCCCATAGGGTCCTATGTTAAACTAAGTCCCCCGCTGGCGGCCATCTTGGATGATGGATTGGCTTCAAAGTAACAAATCTTGGTCAGCACCTCATAAGGAACATTCATGCCATGTTTGGTTTCATTCCATTCAGTGGTTCTCTAAAAGAAGACATTTGTATGTATTTCCCATAGGGTCCTATGTTAAACTAAGTCCCCCGCTGGCGGCCATCTTGGATGATGGATCGGCTTCAAAGTAACAACACTTGGTCAGCACCTCATAAGGAACATTCATACCATGTTTGGTTTCATTCCATTCAGTGGTTCTTTAAAAGAAGACATTTGTATGTATTTCCAATAGGGTCCTATGTTAAACTAATCCCCCCACTGGCGGCCATCTTGGATGATGGATCGGCTACAAAGTAACAACACTTGGTCAGCACCTCATAGGGAACATTCATGCCATGTTTGGTTTCATTCCATTCAGTGGTTCTCTAGAAGAAGTTCAAAATGTAAAAAGTTAACGACGATGGACGCCAAGTGATGAGAAAAGCTCACTTGGCCCTCTGGGCCAGGTGAGCTTAAAATGAATGAAGGTGCTTTACCATTGAATTGCTTAGTTCCACCATTGTTTTCTAACTTTAAGGTTAGAATTATATAGTTAGATTGATTTTTAGATATTGTGTTATGGGATATTGAGAAAATGATATTTGGAGAAACAACACAAAAAAACCCAAAACATCTGCAGGTCAATATATGGTTGCTGACAATAGAAGTTTTCATACATAAATGGCAAGCTACACTTATCTACAAGTTTAGAACTCTAGATGTCATGGTGGCCGAGCCATCTCAGTAATCAGTCTACAATATGACTAGCCTGTACACTGACGTTGTGAGTTCCAACAATGCACATGACAAATGTGTTCTACTCCAATCTTAATTGATTAGGATTGCCAGTTTTCTGGCAGATGGTCAGTGGTCTCTCCACGCACTCTGGCTTCTTTCACCAGTAAACCTGGCTGCCATGATGTAGCCAAAAGTTATGAAAGTGGTGTAAAACACCAATAATCAATCAATCAATCAAGTTTAGACAAGTTCTGTATGATATAAAACAGATTACAAATATCATCACATTCCAACAGTGAACAGCAAGAAACAGCAACACCTTAGTCTAACAGCAAACATGTATAAAACAGAATCTGATATGGCAGTTCTTGACTTTGGACAAACAAATAAGCATGTGTCAAGGACTCAAGGTTAAGCTAGTTATGTGAAGAAACAACTACATTTGTACCACCTCCTCTTGCTAAGACATTGATAAAAAAAATGTATTTTCAAAAATATCTCTAAGATAAATTAAAATGGAGGAAGTCCATAAAACCTGACAAAGCCAAATGCTCATCTACTGTAAAAGTACTTTTATTCGTGGGGTACCAATTTTTCTTTGTATTCGTGGATGGCTTTATCCACAAATTTAAGTGTCCAATGAAATATAACAACTGTTGTCCAAATCAAGGCATGGAAAGATCCTCATGTAGGTGTGACTACATGGATAGAGGCATATAATCTAGAGAATACATCGAATATCAACACGCACTATGAACTACATTTATACAACTTTAGATACGATTTTATCCATTTAATCTTTACAACCCCTAAACTGTACAACTTTTAACCTTTTATTTCTCATGAAAAGTAGTTTTGATCGATGAAAGTCAGATTCTGGTGATAATATGGGATGATGAAGTGTTCATTTTATCTCCTTATAATTCTCATAAAAAAAAAGTTATTAACTACCGTTTTTTTAAGTGACATGTTTATGGCCCAATTAACACCTTGATGATAGTCAATCTGTTGATAATTCAATCTCGGGTTAATTAGTGTCATCACAACTGATATACGAGTGTGCAACTATTAAACTTTTAACTTTGCAAGTTCCTTCAATCGAGACAATTTGTACACATAGATGAATCAGCTTATTTCCGAAAGCATTTATTTTATTAAAAGTTTGATGAATGTTGTCAGTAATGGACACCTTATTTAGCAATGTCCCACAAATCATATCATTTTTTTCAAGAATCTTCATGTCTGATGGCTTCAAATTCTTCACTCGATTTTTTTCAGAAAACTAAAATCCATGAATTTAAGAACCCACGAACATACAACTTTGGCTCAAACCATGAAAATTGATACCCATGAGTAAAAGTACTTTCACAGTAATTCAACCAATGGAACGACTGGAAAACAACTGTCATATTCCTTGATACAGGAATTTTCGGAAGAAAGTAGAGGATTACACCTGGTTTTATAGATAACTTAACCTCCCATTCAGTTAGGGGTACAATTTGTAAAAGTAATTTTTATTTACTTGAAGAAGTAAATATTAATATACTTATATAAGTAAATTTGTAGGATACTTATACAAGTGTATTTTATTTACTTGTATAGGTAAATTATTTTTTGGCTTAGTTATGTCCCTAAGACATTCAGATTTTTTTACTTATACAAGTAAAAAATTTATCCTATCTTCTTTTCTTGAATTTCTTAGGACTTCCTTGCTCTAATAGAATTTTTAATTGTCTGTCCTTTGCAGATGTCTTTACTAATCATTTAAGTGTAATTTCATATCTACTTCAAGTAAATAAAGATTACTTGTACAAGTAGTACCCCTGACTGCCATTTGTAAGACAGTAGATTATTATATTGTTTAAATGATAATATTGGTAAATTGTTGTATTTTAGGTGAAGTTGAATGTGTTTATGGCATACCTGAGATCTGTAGGAATATTACTGAGTTTACTTATTATATTTTTCTACATATTGTATAATGCTGCTAGCATTTACTCTAATATCTGGCTGGCTGAGTGGAGTAACGACAACACGACTATAGTGAATGGAACAATAGACACAGCACAAAGGGACCTGAGACTTGGTATCTACGGTGTTATTGGCTTCATCCAAGGTAGGCAGCATGTGCTATAAAAAGTGCAATTCTGATCATTTTTATACGGCCGCAAAAAAATTTTGTGATTGTATATTGGTATGACGTTGGCGTCGTCGTCGTCGTTGTCGTCCGAAGACACATTAGTTTTCGCACTCTAACTTTAGTTTAAGTAAATGGATCTCAATGAAATTTTACCATAAGGTTCAATACCACATAAGGAAGGTGGGGATTGATTTTGGGGGTTATGGTACCAACAGTTAAGGAATTAGGGGCCAAAAAGGGGCCAAAAATAAGCATTTTTGTAACTTCCAGACATAACTTGTGTGTAAGTGTATGGATCTCTCTGACATTGTACCACAAGGTTCCATATCACAAAAGGAATGCTGGGATTGATTTTGGGGGTAATTGCCTCCAAATTTTAGGAATTAGGGGCCAAAAAGGCAAAAAACAAGCATTTTTCTAGTTTCATGACAATAACTTGTGTGTAAGTCTATGGATCTCTCTGACATTGTATCACAAGGTTCCATATCACAAAGGGAATGCAGGGATTGATTTTTGGGGTAATTGCCTCCAAATTTTAGGAATTAGGGGCCAAAAAGGGGCAAAAAACAAGCATTTTTCTAGTTTCATGACAATAACTTGTGTGTAAGTTTATGGATCTTTATGAAATTGTACAAAAGGTTCCATATCACAAAGGGAAAGCTGGAATTGAGTTTGGGGTAATTGCCCATAAAGTTTAGGAATAAGGGGCCAAAAAGGGGCCAAAAATAAGCATTTTTCTAGTTTCCAGACAATAACTTGTGTTCAAGTGTATGGATCTCTCTGAAATTGAACTGCAAGGTACCATATCACAAAGGGAAGGCTGGGAATGATTTTGGGGGTAATTCCCTCAAAATTTTAGTAATTAGGGGCCAAATAGGGGCAAAAAAACAAGCATTTTTCTAGTTTCAGGACAATAACTTGTGTGTAAGTGTATGGATCTTTATGAAATTGTACTGCAAGGTTCCATATCACAAAGGGAAAGTTGGGTTTGAGTTTGGGGGTAATTGCCCTAAACGTTTAGGAATTTGGGGCCAAAAAGGGGCCAAAAAACAAGCATTTTTCTAGTTTCCAGACAATAACTTGTGTTCAAGTGTATGGATCTCTCTGAAACTATACTGCAAGGTACCATACTACAAAGGGAAGGCTGGGATTAAGTTTGGGGGTGATGAATCATAAGGGGGTTCAAAAAATTTGGAGGGGGGGGATTTTTTTTCCTTTTTTTTATTTAAAATTTTACATTTTAAATTGGTTATTTCTGATTTATATATAAAAGCAAATAATAATGATATGGTTTGAATAGGTAAATTAAAAAATTTTTAGTTCTTAGACCACTTTCATTCTGTGTCAGAAACCTATGCTGTGTCAAATATTTAATTACAATCCAAATTCAGTGCTGTATCAAGCTTGAATGTTGTGTCCATACTTGCCCCAACTGTTCAGGGTTCGACCTCTGCGGTCGTATCAAGCTGTGCCCCAGCGGAGCATTTTATTTGCATTTTTTTTTGTTGTCCAAATTGAATATATTTAGGGTTTCCTTACCAAATCTAATTTTGAAGGCTGAACCTTACATTTTATGAGGATTGCTTTAAAAAAAATTTACCTGCATATTGGTTGTTGTTACCTCAAAGAGCACTTCTATTACAAAGGAAACAGACTTTGAAATTGGTGTAGCCATCTATAGATGAAATTTAAAAATTTCAAATACACTTTCACTGTACAAAAATACCCCTACCTGGATGAGATTTTTTCATGAGTGTTTTCATGGCTCAGCCCTAACTTGTTTCATCAAAATATGAGGAAGAATTGATAAAAAAAAAAAAATTCTCACTTGGCTTATTTACAAATTGCAAATTTCAGATGTTTGTAATATTTTAATTTGGTTATAAGTCAATATTCACAGGATTGTGACTAAAAAAAACCCAGACATTGGCATTTTATAATTTTTAAGGAAGAAACCCTAAACACACATAAATTTTTCCGCCTAATAATGTGGAAAAATGGACTGATGAGTAACCCATTAAACTGAGCTTTAATTTTGTAATCAGAATTGTAAACACAACATTTCCTGACATTGCATAATAAATCCAATACCTCTGTCTGCTATTCAACAAGTGGCAATTATAAATCCACACAATTATTTTTGACTTTGATTGCCATTTTATAAACTGAAGTACTGTAAATTCGGAAATTATTGTGAGGTTTTTCATTTATACAAGTAATGCTACTGGATGAGTATTGCAATAATTAGCACTCGCATTCTGATATTTGATACACACATATGTATGCAGGTTTTTCTGAAATCGCAATGATTAATCTCGCATTTTTGTCCCTTCGTCAAAAAATGCAATAATAAATGCATGCAATAATTTCTGAATTACAGTACTTAAATGTTTGGCATTTTTCTAATTATAAACATCGATCTTATTAAACATTTATTTTTACTTATGCCAAAAATTGATACTATTTATAGACAGATGGTCTTGTGTGTACACATTATACGCCTAGATATAATGGTAATTATGACTATTCTGCATCATCATATATGTTAATTATAGGTATATGAAAAAGAAAAAAAGAGAAACAGGGTTAATGGCACAAATAAATTTTTGATTGACAGTATGTTTTTAAAAGAGCACTTGTGCTATCACAGTCACAAAAAAGATTAATGTTTAATAGAATTATAACATTGATTTCTTCTGGTTCTGAGCTACTTGCTTGAAATATAAGTACTCCTTCATCAAGTTCTTAATTGGACTAATTGTCTGAACTTTTGATTTTTGTGTAAAATTCTTCATAATGTGCAGTTCAAAATATATGAAGAGAATCTTATTACTAAAATTGGTCAATAGATAAATTGATTCACACAGATTTCCATATTATAGGAATATATTAAGAAACTACATTTTTTACGATTTGTCATGTGACATACTGTAGACAAGTCAACTTTAGAAAAAGCCAATTTTATGATGTTGAGAATATCAATGATGCCACAAATGAATTCCAATAGGAATAATTTATTTTAAAACCAATCATCAGTTCATAAAGGGCATGTTACTTATAACGATTAAAAACAGACATAAGGAAATTATAAAAATGTAGCTAATGTTGTTTTTAGCTCACCTGGTCCAAAGGGCCAAGTGAGCTTTTCTCATCACTTGGCGTCCGTCGTCGTCGTTAACCTTTACAAAAATCTTCTCCTCTGAAACCACTGGGCCAAATTTAACCAAACTTGGCCACAATCATCATTAGGGTATCTAGTTTAAAAAATGTGTCCGATGACCCCGCATTCCAACCATCATAAACTGTAAACAGCAGTAATGTTCAGCAAAGTAAGATCTACAAATAAGTTGTCATGATCAAAATTGTCAGTCGACCCCTTTAGTCATTGCCCTTTATAGTCAATTTTTAACAATTTTTCGTAAATTTTTGTAATCTTCTACATAAATCTTATACTATGAAACAATGAGACAAATTTAACCATACTTGGCCATAATCATTATTAGGGTATGTAGTTTAAAAAATTTGTCCGATGACCCCGCATTTCAACCATCATGGCCGACTTGGTTAAAAATAGAACATGGGGGTAAAATGCAGTTTTTGGTTTATATCTCTGAAACTAAAGCATTTAGATCAAATCTGACAGGCAGCAAAAATGTTCATCAGATTTAGATTTATCTGCCCTGAAATTTTCAGACGAATCCGACAACCCGTTGTTGGGTTGCTGCCCCTGAGTTAGTAATTTTACAGAAATTTTGCAGTTTTTTGTTATTATCTTAGATATCATTATAATATCTAATATCTAATACTGTTAATTATGATTTTAACCTTATTTTACATGAATTCCAAAGCATCAGTAAATACAGGTGAGCGACACAGGCTCTTGAGAGCCTCTAGTTTATTTAAGTCACATGATCAGATAAGCTGATCTTTGTCATGAGGTAGGTAGTTGTAGATTGTGTAATACACAGCTTTTACAGATAATCAGAACTGTTTATTTTCAGGTATTTTCATTGTTATATCTTCTATCATGCTTTATGTCGGTAATGTCATGGCGGGCCAACGATTACATGCTGGCATGTTACAAAACACAATGAAAGTGCCGATAGCATTTTACGACACAACACCTCTAGGACGAATCATGAATAGGTTCAGCAAGGATATAGATGTTTTAGACACAGTTATACCAAGAGTGGCTGAATCCTGGCTGGCTTGTCTGTTGAGAGTGGTCTCGGTGCCATTAATAATTGGTTACACTACTCCCTGGTTTCTGGCGGTTTTATTCCCACTGACGGTCCTGTACATCATGGTCCAGGTCTGAATTTTTTGGACCCTTTGTATCATACTCTGGAGTCTAATTGTTGTGTTTTGAGTTTTACTAATAGCTGTATATCTGCTGTTTTGTTTACTTTTTCTGACCTTTCTGTAGAAGTCTTGATATTTTAGATGCTTCATAATTTTTTGCGAATGCTATACATTTGATAATGCTTCTAGAAGAAAATTATTAATGCTTAAAAAGTGCTGTTTTCTTATAATAGAAATAATGACTAGATGTTCTTCTTTTTTATGAAAAAATGCATTTTTATATGATACAAATTTCATTTGAATAAATTATTGTTAATTAAAATTATTTGTTCAGCAATTTCCAAAAAGTAAAATCTCAGAATTTCTACACAACTTATATAATGATCACCCGATTTTGTTTTATATATTATGTTCAATCACTTGAGAATAGTATGGTGCATCTTTGTAAAAACCACTGAATTGAAGTGCACACTGTGTTTGTCGTACAGTTATGTACTATTGCCCATTTGTGTACAATGTATAAGGTCAAAGTTTAGATTTTCATCCTTTGAAAACACTGAAATTTACCAAAAAATTTATGATTGTATGCATTCATCGTGCATTTTTGTCAAATTAATCAAACTAATTTATCTATGGAGCATTTACATATGTGTGTGCTTGGATTAAGCTCTCTC